CAAGAATTCAGCAGTGTGCAATGTACAGGGCCTCATTTTTATTGTGTTGAATTTATGGTAGTGTTCAGAGAGTAAAAAATGTTCTCTTAATTTAGTTTTGTACAATACAAGTAGGATTTTTTTTTCTTAAGATATGTATTAGCCAGCTTTGATTGTGATAATTTGTCTCAAAATATAGTGCTGCTGAGGTAAAAAGACTGGGGGAAAAATTGGTAACATTATTTTCTTGGTCTGTCGAGTCAACATCAGACTAAGAAAATTGAATCAGCCCTCCTAGGCAGAAAGTGCAGTGTTACTGAGATGACATCATCATGAAAATGTTTTATAACCTAAAAGAAGTTATTAGTTCCTTTATTCTTAGGCCCTGTGCTGGCAGTTTAGATCAGCTACCATTTTATATATGCAATATTTTTAAATAAAGATGCAGTGAGTTCTCTAAACAATTACAGTCTTTAAATTATATGGTCATAAAAAGCATTCATTATATTTTTCTGTGTATATAGAAGGCATTATATGAACCTCCAACATAATTAAGTGAATTTGTCGCCTTATGGCAGGCCTTGTCTATAGATATTTCTTTGTATTCGATTATCGGTCTTATATTTTGTGGGATTATATCTGTTAACATTAGGTCCTGTTTAGGAACAAAAAATAACATTAGCTTAAACAAGATAGTTTATTGTTATCCCACATAGAAGAAATCCAAAGGTAGGTGGCATGAAGTGGCATAGTGTCACTCTGTATCTTCAGTGACACAGGCCCTGACATTATGCCTTACTATCCATATTGTTTGCCTTCATCTTCAAGGTTACTTCATGGTCCAAGGTGACCACTGAAGCCCCAGCCATCATACATGGATTCCAGGTCAGCAGGGAGGAAGTAGGAGAGAGAGCAAACTTGCAGAAGTCCCAAAAAAGCAGCTTCCTTTTAGGCAGTAGGAGCAGGATTCCCACAGAAGCCTTTGCTCAAATCCCATTGTGCTGAACATCTTCACGGGGCCACATCTGCCTACAGGGAGGCTGAGAAAGTCTTTATTCCGGGAAAGGTGACCAGTGGAAAATCGGGTTTCTGTTAATAAGAGAAAAGGAATGATGGATGATGGGAGGTCATCCAGCTATCTCTACCACGCAGCTGTATCTCAGAGTGGCCTCTAGTGACAGCCTACCCAGAGTAATTTCCACAGAGCCCCCTCATTTCTTATTTAACTGATATTTGTGCAATTCATTAATACAAAGCCCTTTCCAAGCTTAATTTTTGTGCAGACAACCACATTTTAGGGGCAGGAAAGGCTGAGATCTCCCAAGATGACTTTCTTTATCTGACCAGTATTGTGAGTCTTTCTGTCTCCAAGACGATGGGAAATATGCACATATCTTCATAAAGTTGAATATGTCAACAAAGCAGAGATAGACTCTCTCCCTTCACCCCCTCATGCCACCCCCCACCCCCTAAGAATCAAGAACAATATCCTATCTGGCTATTTTAAAATATGTAGCTAACTAAAAGTATCTTTCCTTTTACATCAAGTAACTCAACTTATAAAACCTGACTCAAAAAACACTTTTTAAGGATGATTTTGCAGCTGCCTTTGTTAAAGCCTAGTGTTTACCATTATAAATTGTGTGTGTGTGTATAATGATAAACAGAAATTTACAAACCTGCTAGGTTTTTCTGAAAATGGAGTATTTGTCTTAACTAAGAATACAGAGAGTGCCCCAAAAAATGTATACACATTTTAAGAAAGGAAAAAACTCTACATAAAATTGTAATACTCAATATATACCGATAACAAAAAATGAATACAAATCGCATGTACACATTTTTTGGCACCCCGGTATATGCCAGCTTCCCTCAAGTAAGTACCGTTTTGGCTATCTCATTTAAGAAACCCAAAGTTCTTATAAACGTTTCTGTATTAGCCACTGGGATAGAACAAGCCAACTCTGTTGTAAGGTACCTCATCTTACCTCTGAGGTAATTATTCTGGAGGACAAAATAGGTGTCTGTATTCCTCCTGCCCAATCCTCAGCCCCTGTACAGGGCATCTCTCTCTGTGTGGTGGAAAGCTCTGTGTGAGGGAAGAATCCAGTCCTCTAGACAGTGCGTAGAAGCTATGACCGGCCCACAGTAATATTATAAATTAGGTAAAGTTTGTTTTCAATACTTTGCTTATTCTCCTTTCCTCCCTGTTCTCCTTCCTCAGTCAATTCAGGAAGCATTGACGGAGAATCCCTTATACACTAGGGGCCATGTTGGGAGCTGGACCTACAGAAAGATACAGACTGTGCCCTCACTGAGTTTGCCACCTACACTTCCTATACCTCTGCTCAGGCATCTGGCTGCCATTGGCAGCCTCTGGAGCCTTGTGGCCCCAAGGGGTGCAACCAGCCCTGTGTCCTGACCTGCTCCTTGCTTTCCTAGTCAAGCTTACCCTTTCTGGGTCCATGACCTAGTCTGCCAGATAGTTCTTCCATTTAAATTTATATCTCATTTTTTTATTAGTTTCAAGTGTATGAAACAGATAAAGATTAGATGTTTACATACCTCGCAAAGTGATAACCCCAACAAGTCTAGTATCCCTCTGACATCATGCATAGCTATTACAATACCATTGACTATACTCCCTATGCTGTGCTTTACATCCATACTATATATACAGAGGGTACCAAAAACATGTATACACATTTTAAGAAACGAAAAAACTGTATTAAATTTGTAATACAATGAATGACACTAGCATTCATTTGATTAGAGCCATCTTTTAAGTGAACATCATACTACCATAATTCTATTGTTACTGTAATTCAATTCAACTTCTTTGATGATTAATGATGTTGAGCATCTTTTCATACAGATGTCTATTGGCCATCTGTATGTCCTCTTTGGAGAAATGTCTGTTCAGGTCCTCTGCCCATTTTTTAATTGGATTGCTTGCTTTTTTGGTGATCAGTTATATGAGTTTTTTATACATTTTGGATATTAACCCCTTATCAGATGTGTCACTGGCAAATATCTTGTCCCATTCAGTAGGATGTCTTTTTGTTTTGTTGATGGTTTCCTTTTCTATGAAAAATCTTTTTAGTTTGATGTAGTCCCATTTCATGATTCTTTCTTTTGTTTTCCTTACCCAAGGAGATACATCAGTAAAAATATTACTAAGGGTAATATTTGAGAGTTTACTTTCTATATTTTCTTCTAGGAGTTTTATGGCTTCAGGTCTTCCATGTAAGCCTTTAATCTATTTTGAGTTTATTCTTGTATATGGCATAAGAAAGTGGCCCAGTTTCATTTTTTTGCATGTATCTGTCCAGTTTTCCCAGCACCATTTATTGAATAGACTGTTTTTACCCCAATGCAAATTATTGCTTCCTTAGTCATAGATTAAATGATGATATTGGAATGGATTTATTTCTGTGCTCTCTATTCTATCCGTTGATCTATATGTCTGTTTTTATGCCAATACCATGCTGTTTTGATTTCTATGGCCTTGTGGTTAGTTTGATATAAGATAGTGTGATACCTCCAGTATTGTTCTTCTTTCTCAGGATTACCATGGCTATTTGTGGTCTTTTATGGTTCCATATAAACTCTAAGATCATCTGTTCTAGTTCTGTGAAAACTGCCATTGTTATTTTGATAGAGATTGCATTGAATCTATAGATTGCTTTGGGTAGTTAAATTTATATCTTTCAATTCTTATTTTAAAAAGAACATATTGATAACAATTTTAGACCACTTATTAAAAATGGGGGATAGAGCTGTGGGATATTTTTTTAATAGCCAAGGCTTTGTAGTACACGGATTTTTGACAAAAATTGTATGGGTAAAATTTATCTGATCATACTATATATGATTATAAGTAATAACTAAAAAATGTTGCTATTTTAGATAATGTTTCAGTATTCCTAAATTAATTAATTTAATAGAAATGTTACTAAAATGATTATTGTCTTTGTAGAACACTCTGTGAAATCAATTGATAGGTGAAAACCTATAAATAAATATTTAGAGGAACCTCTTAAATTGTATAAGCTATTATAATCCTAGATAAGGCCAACACCTCCCAAAACATGCAATACAAATGTGGAAAGTTGTATTCATATATTTTTTTCATACATGCATTCAATAAATGTCCTCATAAAATTTATGGTGTAGTGACAGTGGCAATAATAAATTAAACAAAACAAACAAACAATAAGATTATTTCATGCTGAGAAAAAAATTATGAAGCAGAATAGGTGCTTCATTCTGTGAAAAATAACAAGGTGTTCTAGCCAAGGTGGTCAGGGAACGTCTCTCTGAAGTTCACATTTAAGATGAGACTAAAGTTTAAAAAGGAGCCATAAAGTATAATCAATAATGTTGTAGAGATTTTGTAGGGGGTCAGATGGACACTTGTCTTATTATGGAGACCACTTCATAGACGGTGTAGATGCTTGACCACTGCAATGTACGTCTGAAGCTGAATAATATTGAATGTCAACTATAATTTTATATATATATATATATGGTCATGGATATGGAGTACAGCATAGGGAATAGAGTCATTGTCATTGTAACAGCTATATACGATGTCAGAAGGAAGGGTAGTAGATTGGGGGAGGGAAGTTATCACTTTGTGAGGGTGTAAATGTCTATTAGATTGCTTTGTACACCTAAAAAAATAAAATAAAATAAAATAAAATAAAAAGGAACCATGTCAGAGAATCCCAAAGACTGACATTTCAGACTGGATATCCAAAAAGGCATGGCATTTAAGGTTGATTATGACTCTTTTGAGGTATCTGGCATATGAATTTCAGTCATGCCAAATGTGTGCTGAAGTTCTAATTTCTAACCAGAAATCCTGTTTCCTAAGAAGCCCCTTAACTCAAGCCTGATGAAGCCCGTAACACTGTTTTGGAGCTTTACTTGCGCATATGGTGAAATGCTACTTGTTGCACAGTTGTCCAGTGTGCGTGCTAACCATGCATCTCTTTCTCTTCCTCTTGTGTCACCAGGCCTCCGGAACCTGTTTACAGCACTGTGAACAAACTGTGTGATAAGCCTGCTTCTCCCAGGCACTATTCCCCTGTTGAGTGTGACAAAAGCTTCCTCCTCTCAGCTCCCTACCCCCACTACCACCTAGGCCTGCTCCCTGACTCTGAGATGACCAGGTACTGCATGCGCTTCCTCACTTCATCTTCTCAAATTGCATGTGCTTTCACAATGAAGGAATGGGTCAAATCCTCCTCTGCTCACTTCTCTCGCACTCGGCATCTTCCTCCAGGAGGAGAGATGTCCTGCTCCAAGGTGGAGAAATTAAGAATATCACCCCTTTTTTTTTTCCTGGTGTTTCACAAAGCACTCAGACAAAACCACATGATGCTCCACATGTTCTTGGTCCCTCTGCATTTTTAATCTGGTGTTAATTATATTTTTCCAAAAGAATTAATTTTGGAATTTAAGTAGCTCTATTTCCCTTAGAAAAATGAATAAACATTTATTGGATAATGTTTAATAAATACTTACTATGCTCCAGGTATAACGTAGCCTAAGAAATAGATACTATTATCTCCATTTAATGTGTTAACTAAAATATTAAATTAATGCCATAATTTAACTGACTCCTTGAGGTATTAAACAACTTGTCCAAAAACTATATTATTGCAAAGAATATAATCTTATCCTTTGCAGTATGTCATATGTCGCCTTATTTAGTTATTCCCATTTTATATTAAAAAAAAGTTCAAAGAAGTTAAAGTAAAGTATTGTCCTTAGTACTATATTGGCAATTAATGTGGAGTCCAAATTTGACCTTACAATGTTTTGAGTCTTTCCACAACTTTGTAAACAAATTGTTCTAAATCTGAAGGTTGAACATAATTTTGCATTAATATTCTAAAGCATATGTATGGTAATAATAAAACCCCATCTTCACATAGTAAGCAAAATCAGAGAGAGAGGAGGAAATAAGGAAAAAGAGAATCTAGTGTTGATAAGGCAGTTCCAATTCAGTTTAAATTAAGAGATCTCAATTGTGATGTTCCCATATATAATGGAATGTTTAATATAGTTATGTTTTCAGATAGAATATCTTCATATGTCTTCATAATATTGTTAGAGCTGAGAAAATATAGATTTTAGAATGATTCAGAGTGAAAATGGCTATATCAAGAGGGCCTCCTTAGAACATTATATATTTTTTTATGTTTTCAAATAATAAGTTTTGAAGTCAATTGCTGACTTCTCTAGGGAGTTAACAATAAATTTTAAATTATACCTAACGTTTCTAGAAATAAATCAGATGACATATTTTTGGCTATTAATCAGCTAGGGCATTTTCACTAATTTGCAATAATTAAACCCTAACGGTGTTTTAGAATGCTTTATAAATATTAATTAAATCCTCCTATATTTTTAACAAATCATAAAAACTATTTTTTCACGCAGTGAACCATATGGTTTTGAAGAGAGCAAAGTCACCATAGCCATAGGGAAGTGAGAAGGTGCACACCCCTGTAGTACGCACGCATCTGTAGGCAGCTATGTAAAGGCAGCTCACCTTTACTGAGCTCTTCCTCTGTGCCAGGGATTTTGTTGAACACATCTTATGAATTATGTATTTTAACCCTGACAGTCACCTTGTAAGGTAGATGGTGTCACTGTCTTTGATTTATAAATAAAATCGAGGCTTGAGAAGTTACCTGATGTGCCGTGATCATCTGCTGATAAGTGGCAGGGCTGGGATTCACACCCAGTGGATCATGAGCACCCACATCAGCACAGACATGGCAGCAGAGATGTCTGTGCTTGCTGGAAAAGTTCTCCACCCATTTCTCGTTTACTTTTCTTTCTCTACTTTTATCCTGCCTTCTCATCTCCCTTCTTCTGGCTCAGGGTCAATAAATCTTTTTTTGTTTGTTTGTTTGTTTGTTTTTGTTAACCTGTGCTCTTTTATGTTGAACATAAAAGTTACATTTCTTGCATTCCACTGGGGATTTTGATGCATCCCTCCCTAAAAACTCACCAGAAACAATAAGCAGATGATAGAATCTACCTTTTGGGTGAACCCACCAGGTATGATTCTTTTCAAGTTTGCTTTCTGTAACCTGTTTTATGAAAACCAGAGGGTTTATTATTTTTTTCCCAAATTAAAAAATTATAGTATAATGTTGAATATTTCTTTTTCAAATTAAATACCCTCAGCAATCCTGAATATATTAGTTCTCAACCTCCACTCCCATCCACCTTTAGGGAATTTTATTTTCTATTCTAATTCTGTTCCCCTCTCTTTCCCTCCCTTTTTTCTTTTTTCTGTTTTTTCATATTTTGTCTTTCATTGCTAGAAAAAATCATACACACACACACACACACACACATTTTAGTGGTATTTTTACCAATTTGCTGATACTGCAATTCTTAATTTCACCCCACTTTGTTCCTCTTTCACACTTCTCCAATTCAGTAAATGGCACATACATTTAGCCCGTTATCCAAGCCAAGAACTTGAGAATTATACTTATTTTTCTCCTTCACACCCATCATTCAATTTATCTTCAACTCCTATTAATTCTACCTCCAAACTGTACCGCAAATCTATTTATTCTCCTCTACTTCTATTTCCACCACTTTGATCCCAGCCCCCATTATCTCCCATCTACAATAGCTTCCTAATTGGTCTCACCACTTCCCCTATTGTCCTGGTTTATATTTCAGTGCAGCCAAAGTGATCTGTAAAAATACAGATCAGATCTATTCCTTTCCTTTTGCATTGGTATAAAATGCAAAATCATTAACATAGCATCCAAGCTATGCATGATCTCACCGCTGCCTGCCTCTTAAACATCTTCCCTTTGCTGACCACACTATTTACATTCACAACGTGCACTAAATCTCTCCCTGCCTCAAGCGCTTCACACATGCTCTTTCCTCAAACTGAAAAGCTCTTACACTTTGCCTGGTTAACTTCTGGTCATCTTAGATCTAAGCTTAAATTGAACTTCCTTGGAGAAGCTCCCTGGAAGAGAAGCTTTGGTCCCCTATTGTATTATTTCTTTTTTCGTAAGACTCAAGCAATTTATTATTATACATTTATGTGATTTTTAATCTAAATGTCTCACACTCTGTGCTGTAAGCTCAATGAGTGGAAGTGTGTCTATGTTGTGCACTGCTATACCCTTAACATTTAGTATAGTGCCTGGCACAGCAGGAACTCAGAATTATCGAGTAACTAAATAAACATGGAAATAAAATCATCAGCAGACAAGCAGACAGATACCTGTTCCAGGAACAGGTCATGGTTCAAGCTGTGCTTTACTCAGTTCTTAGTAGGTACATAAAACAACTCCATGAGTGAACAAATCCATGCATGGAAACAAGGAACAAGGGCTAGAGCTTACTTTGTGAATTGCACTTGCACCTTAAGTTATCTTGATCGTCAATGTCCACATTATAGATTCACTAGGTAACAGTCAGTTCTTCATTAAGACTGAGCAGTTCCTTTCAGAGGTTATTTACTTCCTCTCCAATGGGAAATATCTGAGCAGATGTTTCTTGAAATTTTGTCCATAATTTAAGAAATAAGTTCCAGGATTCTAGTTCATGACACCATCACTTGCTTTTTCCACTGTGGCGTTAAACAACTTAGAGAATCTCAGTGGTAGATGAGAGTTTAGAATTAGATAGACAAGCCCTTGTCCAACTCTAGTAATGATAAGGAACCCAATCCACTGTCTTCATGGGTCCACGTCTTACTTCTACTCTTGGTAAAATAAAAGTGTTTTGGGATATATTCTGCCCTGAAAAGGATATCATAAAAATATAGCTATCAATTCATTCAACCAAAACTTATCAAGTACTGACAAAGGGCAAGATACTACATTAGGACAACTTTTTACAAAGGTGTAAACTGAAAAAGCCAACAACAACAACAACAACAACAAAAATGTTACAGAAATGCCTAACCTTTACATTGCAATATGTGGTAGTATATATTTTTCAGGGCATTTGAGACTATTCCAGTTTATTTCAGAAGCACACACATATTGATACAGCAATTACTGTCTCAGATTAGGGTACAAACTACTACCTCTATGCAAATTACATGTGAAATCACTCATGCACCAGCTTAATCCCAAATCAGCATTGAGGAGAATGGAGCCCAGGAGCTAGGAGGGTCAATCATCTGTATTTCAGTGGGAATATCCAAATTCTCAACTCTTTGAATTGATAGCAAACATCCAAGGATGAATTAATTGTGTGCACAATTTACTTCTTTGACATTATCTAACAGAAAACAGAAATTTTTCTTAAGGAAGCACTTCGAATTACTTGGGGAAGTGCCAGCTCCTGAGGCTACAGATGATATTTAGAAATTGGCTTTTCAGACCTTGCAAAAGCAAGAAATGGGCAGAGCCTGGATTCAAACTAACATTTGGAGCTCTATGAAAAACAACTGGGATTACTGTGGGGCTTCTGTTTTTTTCTTTAAGGCAGTTTTTGATGTTCTCATTGGTTTTCTGCTTTGGGAGAATGGTAAGTCATTTATCTTTTGATATTCCTAGAGCAAGGAGAACAATAGTCTGGTTTGTTCAACACATACGGCATATTTTCATTTATCCTTTTACATAGTTGGTCCTAATTAGTTATTTTGTAGCTGATAATCAAGGATGAGATAAACCAGATGAAGGCTCATTAAAATATGTCAGCAGATTTGGGAATAGGAAATGGATTCTGAAGCACAGGATCATAACACATCTTCACTCATTGAAGAGTATACAATCATGAGACTTCAACTAGGCATCAGGCATTATCCTGGATGCTGGGGAGTCAAAGGTGAATAAGGCATGATTCTTCCCCTTAAACAGTTCAAAGACACGGGAATGAAGTATTCATGACTGTGTGTTGTGATACATATCTGCCAAAGGCTCTCATTTCTCCAGTGTACCTTATCTATAGGTAACTAAAGTTAGACTGGTGTAAGAGGTAGTGATGGCAGCAGGCATGATCTTAGACTGTCCCTTCTGCAGAGGTTAGAACATACATTCAGGAATGTTCCCCACTTACACCTTGTTTCATCAATTCCTAGTAGTTTATAAGAAGCGTTATTTATAGGATTTACCCTTACCTTCTCATAGGTCCATCTGCTTATGTATCTACAGAGCTCAGAAACCAG